TGTTGACCTCAACATTTCCTACAAAGGTGAATTATGCAGCGTTTTCTTCCCACTTTTTCAACTGCAGCTGTGCATCAGTTGCTTTGAAGCAGGCATCCAGTCTGCCTCTTAGGTGACTGCCTTGCTCAATGTCCAAATCATGTGAAGGAGCAGTGGCTCCACTTTGAGCCTCTCCTGAAGGACCAATCAGCCGGACTCTAAGGCTGAGCCTAGAGGCCACACAGAGGAAGCTCATTTCTGCCACTTGTCTCCATAATCTTGTGCTTCTGGTCATTACTCACAGCTAATGGCCACAGGTGAAGGTGTGATTATAGCCTGGCCAGTAAATCAGCAGCTTTGCTTTCATATTCTGCTCACCACAGCATCAGTCTGGCTGTTCATCAAATGCTTCGCTCACAAACACCCAGAATGCTTAGATTTCATGTTCATGTCGCTGCCAGTGTCCAAACCCAGCACACGAGAAAAGAAAGTCATCATTTCTTTTGATCCCTTTAACCCCGAGGGGGCGTGGCTTCATATCACCTTCTGATTGGAAGATGTTTTTGTGTTCTATGAAGAATAATTGTTACATTGTGTCTTTGTGTTTCAGTATAACAGCCACAGTTGCCAGCATTGGAGCAGCAGGAGTGCCTAACGCTGGGCTTGTCACCATGGTGATAGTTTTAACAGCTGTTGGCTTACCTGCAAGTGATGTCACTCTGATAGTTGCAGTCGATTGGCTACTGTGAGCTTTTGTCTCTTGTCTTTTTGTGCCGACTTTCTTCTGTCTTTGTGGAAACCGCTGTAGACTCACTGTGACTGTCGTGTTTCAGGGATCGCTTCCGCACTATGATCAACGTCCTTGGCGACGCGTACGGAGCCGGCATTGTTCAGAAACTCTCCAAGAGGGAGCTAGAACGGATGGACCTGACATCAGACATGGATGTCGCCAACCCTTTCGCCCTGGAAGCCACTTTGGATGACGAAGAGTGTGAGAAGAAGTCCTACGTGAACGGAGGCTTCACGGTTGACAAGACGGATGCGATCTCCTTCACGGAGACGTCCCAGTTTTAGCCTGTGGCTGGTTCAGTCGTGAGAGGAACGTGCACGGAGAGAAGCTATCCATCCGGACCCATCCCAGGACCGACGTTAGCAATAGCAGCCTTCATTAAGCTAACCGAAGATTGCCACCCTTCAAGCTGGGCATTTCCAACTACGACTAGATTAAAGTGCTTCCTTCATTATCTCAGATCACGCCATGATTCAAAAAGTCTGTTTTCTCAATAAGAGTTTTTCTTTTCTCGCAAAGATGAACTCAAACGAAGAGCTTTTTGCTAGTGTGTGTGTGTGTGTGTGCGTGTGCGTGCATCTTTTAAGGTGAGCCTGATGACTTTTGCAAAAACACAGTATCACGTAAACACTGCTTCATGAATAAAAACTAACTGTACTTCCTGTGTGGACACTAATCCTCAGAAACTCTTTTCCTTTGCATGGCTCTGTTGAGTGTATGTCCCATGATGCAGTGCTTGTATATCTATCTGTATCTTTAAACTGTGCCAAACTTGTTTTTCACCAAGCTGCATGAAGCTAAATGTCTAAGCTGGTTACTGGTTTCCTGTGTGGGCCTTGCAGAGACAAAGTCAGTGGACACTGTGGAATTTGAGAACATTTTTTCTAACATTTCCTGTCACGTTGCAAAATAAGAATGAATAATCATGTATGTATTCAGTCAGTGTGGGGAAACATATGGACCCCGAAATAAACAGCTACTACAACACGAGCTTACAGATCTATGTGTGAGAAAACAGAGAATCACAGTAGCTGTGTTTCACTGTGGCTTTTACACCCGTCACCATCACATACAGATGTAACAGGTTATAGCAGTGGCACATTGGTCAGCGTTGGAAACAACAGCCTCACACGCTGTGATGCACTTTGTTATATGTTGGCAGGTGAGATTAGATGATTACTGATCTCTGTGCATAAATGTGAACCACGAGTCACGGAGCTGTGAGTTTATCTGCATCAATCCTGGAAACGTTTTTAAAAGTAACACAGCTCCTAAAACTGAAGTGTCCTTTTAACACAAAGTTCATGTAATGCACTCTTTAATTATTTAAGGGAATTTATAACTTATAACTAACCAGTTTTTCACAGCCCACTCTGACCTGTGGAAATACACGATAAATGTGTGAAGTTACAGGAAAGTTAATCGGACGGACTGTCCTTTAATTCTAGATATATAATTATACACAATTTAGTTCATTCCCCGTGGACCCAGTTATAGAGGAAAAACAGGAACTTTGTCTTTAATTCTTTATCTGTTAGGTAATTATTGTCTTTATCAAAAGGAAAAGCCTTCACCAGGCCAATTCTGGCCCCCGGGCCTTATGTTTGACACTCCTAATGTTTTTCTGAAACCAGCTCAGCGCTGTACACAACCGTCCCCCTAATTCGTGGTTTAAAAACCCCTTTTTCTCTTACGTTTTCCTCTCCCAGAGGAGGCTTGATAATAAGTGAATCAGGCGTCTCAGAGCTGCCTTCATGTTATCATGACCACAATAACCTGATGCACTGTTCACCATTTAGCAGGACAGGAAGTGGGAAACATAAAGTAGGATTTTATATATAAAGCTACAAACGTTCAGCGTTTGAGAACTTCTGAAACTGCAGATTGATGCCAACGTATTGTTTCTTTATTATTTCTGTCCTTCTGTTTATATTCAGGCTCAGGTTTTACAGTGATGAGCTCCAGTGCTGGTGAAAGACGAGAGAAGAGGCAGGAGTGTTGGGATATGCTAGAGAGAAGGACAACAGCCATATGTTGTGTGTGTGTGAGACCAAAGCAAGTCAGGAGCAACGTTGTGGATTCAAGTTGGTATCGATGGGAGTGAAATGAAGCCGTGGTGATGTTGAAGAAAGAGTAGTGTTGAAAACCAGCTGGTAAGACTGAATTCATGCTGCTGTTTTTCAACCATGAAGCACGACTTTTGCTTCTTCTCCTGCTGATTCAGTGAGTTTTGGTCTGAACCTTTCAGTGAGATGTTTTCTGCAGAGACATCGTTTGTCTGGATACCACACACGTCTACATTTCAATACCACAGCTGGCAGCACAGAAACCAGATGTTCCCGTCTATCACCTCGTAGCTTTGGCGTTCAGGTGAAAGCGCCTCCTCAGGAACCTCAAGCTCTGTTTCAGGTCATCTCCTGCGTCGGTGTCCTGAAACAGATACTGACCGACCATCATTCATGTCTTACACAGTAAAGGAACTGTGCAAATTACTGGGTGTTAAAATCTGCTGGTGCAGCGTCTACCACCCTCAGACTGGTGGAGCAGCTGAACGAGTCCACCATTCATACACAGGCAGCACTGCAGGCTAGAAGCTCTGATGTTTGCGGTGCAGAGGCCTCGGGGAACTGCAGGCCTGCACAGGATCTTCTCCCTTTCTTATCTTGTGTTGTCTAAATCTCTCCTTGCACGTTGACATGTGTGCTCCCCATTTTCCTCCATCATGTGATTTCCAATATTTTGTTTTCCTTGCCCTATTCCCATGTGCGTGTTTGGATTTTGTCACCTATCCAGCCTCCCACACAGACACAACCATGTAGTTCCAGCAGACACAGGACAGCCAGTTAGTTTCTTCACTGGTTTATTGGGATCCTTGGAAATGTAACTAAATAGTTTGTGTAAACGCCTCCTTTCATCAGAGGAGTTTGTCCCCTTTCCTAAATTTCAAATTCACTCACCGTTTAGTTTAGCCGCCAAAACAACCAGAGGGCAAGATATATAACGATGCTCCGTTAAACGGGCTAAAAGCCGAGCACTGTGGCCTCGACGAGTGTGGGCAGCATCATCTCTGTGTGAGGTGATGTGGAAGATGGTGACTCACAGTCTTTGCAGGGGGACAAGGACTCACTTTATAGTGGGCAGAGGTTCTAAATCTGCTGCAGCTTCTGCAAGCGCAGCTTCATTTTCTATCGACTGATGCATTAGATTCTGGCTACAATGTAACAGTTCTATCATTAGTCTGCCAACACAGCCCAGCTCTCCATGTGACATTACATAGCAGCGTGAACCAAGACAACCTCAGGAAGCTCAGTTAATTTCACTCAGCACATCGTGCTGTTTCATCACCTGTGCTGATGTGTGGGCTCTGTCCACACACAGCTTCCTCTACAGGGGGCGTGGCTTTTACACCAGCGCTCCAGCCTTTTTGCACCACAGACCAGTTGTCCGACAGTATTTTCACAGACCGGTCTTTAAGGTGTCGGGGATAAAAACAACAAAATAAAACCAGTACTGGTACAAAAAAAGATTTATTCATAACACGTGAGAAAAGAGCCAGAGAAACCAGATTAACGAGGAAAATGACAAAAAATAACGATAAAACCCTGAAAACCACAAATTTTACACCCGAGCCTCAACCCTCGCAGCCCGGTACCAAGCGACTCACGGGCCTATCCCGCTCCGTGACCCGGGGGTTGGGGACCGCTGATGTAGAAGTATTCCCTCCATCACCCGACTGTGTCCTCAGTCCGCAGCACCCATCCACACCCTGTGAGCAAATACCGCTTTGCCTCTGAGTCACCTGACATAATCCCTGACTCAGCAAACCCTCCCACAGCCCACAGGTTGGTACCTGTCAGCCGCCTGAACCCAACCTGACTGATCTCCTCTTTCACCTCCAGTGTCCACATGTGCTCCGGGGATTATCATCTCCACCTTATGACCACATGCAGCTGCTTCAACAATGGAGGCACAGAACAGGGTCCACTCTGACCCACGGGCACCAGAAATGGTGTCGATGTTCTGCTGCATGTCTTATGAAGATCTTATGGACCAGGGCCTCTCCCAAACCTTTTCAGCAAACTCTCACTATACATCTGACTCAGAGTAAGAATCTAACCAGATTCTTACTCTGGATGGCATTACCTTGGCCTCCAGTAACACTGTGAGGAACCTTGGAGTCATTTTTGACCAGGATATGTCCTTCA